TTTTCACTGTGAAATTCTGTTGATGGAGGTTGGTAGTTTTCTGTTATATTTTCCGATAAAGCTTTTTTGCTTATTTGGTTTCTAAGTGGTTTAAATTTTAGTATCCCCTGAAGGAATTGGTTGTCATAAACAGGGATTCCGTCTTCCTTGAGGATTTAGTTTCGCTGCAGTCTTACGTTCTCTTAGAAACTAATGTGCGGATGTTAACTGTTTCCCAAGATAAAGAGAAGTATGGTGTGAAGTTAAAGGCAGACCCGAATTTTAAATTGCTTGGCTCGAGACTTAAAGGAGACCAGAAGAAAGTGGCGGATTACTTGAAGGTCTAGAGTTTTATTTTTACATTGAATGTGCTAAATATTTCAGTTTTGTGGTATGGCTTATTAAATGGTTTTGGTGGGTCTGTTCTTGGGGCAGTCTTACGTGCCAGTTGCGATAATTTTATTTGATTTTAGACTAAAGTGACTGAAGAAGAATTAACCACTTTGTTGGAAACTGGAAAACTCAAGGTGTTGGATTATGAGGTAACGTCAGAAGAGGTAGCAGTTTCGTACTGCACAAGTGGGCTATCTGCAGCTGGAGATCATTTTGAAACTCATGCCAATAGTCAGGTTAGTGTTTTCTGCATAGCATCTTTGACGTTGCCTGCACTTATAAGTAGCTCTGACAGACTTGATTTTTAGACGGTTGTAATGTTGGATTTCTCTGAAGACGAAGTTTTGAAAGAAGAAGGCCTGGCAAGAGAAGTAATAAATCGTATTCAAAAGCTACGGAAAACGGTCAGCCATCATCGTGTTACTTTTCGTAACCTTGATTTTTTAAGTTTTTTTGATTTTCTTTGTCTTCTGTCTTCTTAAATTATGTCTCACATCACATTTAGGCAAAGCTAGTTACTACTGATGCAGCTGTTGTCTACATTCGTGTCACTCCTGCTGGTCACCAACTGGCTGGGGTTATTCGGCGGTGTGAAGGCATGATTTCTAATGCGACAGGTTCTCCCTTGTGTCTCAGTGAATATCCTTCAGGGGCTAATATTTTGACTTCATCTTCAAACGTCAAGGATGCACAGTTAGAGGTTAGTTTCATTTTGTATTTATTTGGAATGTGATTGTTTTACTCCTCTTATTCATTAAGTTTGAAGGTGGATTAGCATTGTCAGTTTTTTCCTGTTTTACTGAAATTTGTTGCTTTTTTAGGTGGCTTTGCTGGCAACGCCATCTATTGAGGTCCACTTTGAACAACGTTGCTATAAAATCAAGCTATCTTCGGGTGACGGGGAAGGTTTAACATACACTAGACTTTTGTATGAAACTCGAGCTATTTTTTCTTTGTGGGAAAAGCAGCAAATTCTATTC